AGCTAGCATGACTATATTAATAGCAAAGGATATCTTAGAACAAGAAATTTCATATGGGATAAAGAAGGTCATTTCATAGTAGTTGAGAGTACAGTCCATCAGGAGGACATAACAATTCTAAATGTGTGTACATCCAATAACAAAACTTCAAAATAACTGATAAAGAAATTAACAGGGCTGGTGCATGGGGAAGACCCAGAGGGATGGGATGGAGAGGGAGGCGGGAGCAGGGATCGGGAAGGGGAACACATGTAAATCCATGGCTGATTCATGTCAGTGTATGACAAAAACCACACACACACACACACACACACAAAAAAAAAAAAAAAAATTAACAAACCCACTGTTACTGATAGAGGTTTCAACATTCTTCCTTTAGTAAATAATAGGATAAACTGATAATATCAGTAGGGATTTTGATGATATTAATAATACTATCAACCAACATGACCCAATTGACATTTATAGAACACTCTACTTAACAACAGCATTAGGCCATGTTATGAATTATAAAACAAGTCTCAATAAATGTAAAACATTAAAAATCATACAGAGTATGTTTTCTAATAAGAATGGAATTTAAAATTATTAACAAAGATATTTGGTAAAAATAGCACATCTTTAAATAAGGTAAGGATCAAATTAGAAATAACAAAAGAAACTTTACAATATTTTGAATAAAGATGAAGAAACTTTTCAGAATTCATGGGATACAGCTTAGTAGATATGTATAGTTTAGAAAAGAAGAAAGTTCTCCAATCAATGATCGAGGCTTTCACCTTAAGAAATTAGGAGAAGAGAAGCAATTTGAAAGGAAGTGGAAGGAAGGAAATAATAAAAGAAAACAGAAAAGAAAGAAAATTAATGAAATAAAAAATTTAGGTTTTTTAAATCAATAAAGTTGCAACATTACATAGAATGATCAATAAAAAAGAAATTTTCAGTATCTTTCAGAAAAATAGAAAACAATATTAAAACCCTGTGTTAATTAAGGGGGTAATAAAAAGATATTATGAATAACTGTGCAAATATGTTTGACAGCTTAGATGAAATGGAAAAATTCCTTGGAAGACAGTTTTCCAGTACTGACTCAAGAAGAAACATTTCTGAATATCCATATATCAATGAAAGTGATTAAATTCATATTAAGAAATGTTTCACAAAGAAAACTCCTAGGCCCAGATGGTATTATTGGTGAATTCTGCCAAAAATTTAAGAGATAATACCAATCCTTTAGCCCTGAAGTACTTTCAGAAAATAGAATTGGATAGTATACTTTCCAGTTCATTTTATGAGACTGATATTAAACCAGACAAGGACATTATAAGAAAAAAATTATAAAACAGTGTCTCTTAGGAACAGGCAAAAATCCTTAACAAACTATGAAACAGCAATATACTATTAATAAAAGGTAAATATGTCATGATTCGGGACTTATCCGAGGGATGCAAGGTTAATTTAAGTATCAGTTAGTATAACTTACATTAGCAGAAATAAAGAAAAAATATCTTTATAGATATCCATGAAAGCCTTTTGTCAAAATTCAACACCCATTATGAAAATCTTATAGTAAACTGAATACCAGGAACTTCTTCAACTTGATAAAGGTTTTCCGTGAAAACCTACATTTTACTCTTAATGGTGAAAGACTGTTTTCCAAGATCTAAGGATGAATGCTTTCACCACTGTTCTTCCTTTTTTAATAGTTTATTTATTTGTTTTTGGTTGAGCTGGGTCTTCATTGCTACACGTGGGCTTTCCCTAGTCGTGGCGAGCGAGGGCTACTCTTTATTGTGGTGTACGGGCTTCTCATTGCAGTGGCTTCTCGTTGTAAGGATGTAATATTTCTGAGACATCGGTTTCTCCAAATTGACTTGTAAATTCAATGTAATCATAATCAAGCTGATTCTAAAATTTATAGTGTAATGCAAATGAGCTAGAATGGCCAAAACAATTTTGAAAAGAAAGAAGCAAGTCTTACACTACTTAATTTGAAGACTTACTATAAAGTTACAGTTATCAAGACATTCTTGGTATTGGCATAAGGATAGATATATGGGTCAATAGAAGATAATAGGAGATTTGTTACAGATCCAAACATGTACTGTAAAGTGATTTTTTAAAGAAGATGGCTCTTTTTTTCTTTCTTTTCTTTCTTTTCTTTTTTTAACGAGATTATTTATTTATTTATGGCTGCGCTAGGACTTCGTTGCTGCACATGGGCTTTCTTTAGTTGCTGTGAGCAGGGGCTACTCTTTGTGGTTGCAGGCTTCTCATTGGAGCAGCTAGTTGCAGAGTACTGGCTCTAGGTACGTGGGCTTCTCTTGGGGAGTACAGGCTCTAGGTGTGCGGGCTTGACTTGCTGCAGCACTAGGGCTCAGCAGTTGAGGTGCCTGGGTTTAGCCCCTCTGCGGCATGTGGAATCTTCCCAGACCAGGGATTGAGCCTGTGTCCTCTGCACTGGCAGGTAGATTCCCATCCACTGTGCCACCAGGGATGTTCTCTAGTCAGTGTCTGAGGTGTTTCAGTGGGGAAAAGGAAAATCTTTTCAAGAAATGATGCTGTATCAACTGGATAGCTATGGAAACAACCTTATCCCTAACATTCCACCATGCACAAAAAGTAACAGAAATGGATCCCAGACCTAAACATAAAAGCTTAAATTATAAAGCTTTTATCTAGAAGAAAACCTAAGAGAAAAAAATTTTGCAACTCTGAAATAGGCAGGTATTTATTCAGTAGCATACAAAAACCACAAATGAAAATTTAAAGAATTTATCAAAATTTAAAGAGCCCAGGTAAACTAGCCCAAGTAAGAAGCAAATGTACTTACAGAGGTGATGAGAGGAATGCCTCAGATCACTGTGCAGAAGAACTAGAGGCATCCTGTGCATACTGGAACAGAAAGGCTCTGGGAAAGCTGTGTTCAAGGGACTGATAGACTTCTGATGTGTTTAAATAGAAGGAGTGGAGATTAACAGGGTGGAGAGTTCGGTAATGGATTAGTGAAAGATGCATAGAAACTAAGAAAACTAAGATGAGTATAGTTACTAGTTGTAAAAGGAGGAATAAGAAACCATACTGCATGGCCTGCCTGTAATAGCATTACAGATGATAAAAATGTAAACACTGAATATTAATCTATTTAGAAATGATAATTGAAAGGATGGAAGAGGGAAAATGTGGAGCATCAGGTATGTGGTGGTTTCTAGTAGTAGTAAAAGACTTACGTCCTCATCTTCTATGAGCATGTTAGTTAGAGTGGGAAAGGTAGGGAAGGGAGTGCAGAAGGTGGCTGTTTTTCATAATGTCTTGTAGAATATTTTGAGTTTCTTGAACTATGCATATGAACATGATTTGAAGCCTCGTATTGCCACTTACTAATTGTGTGACTTTGATCACTTAACCTTTCTGTGCCTCAGTTACATCTTTCGTTGAAAATTAGTGTAATAATTGTGCTTTCCTCAGGAAGTTTGTTTTTAGAGTGAACTAATTTAATCTATGCAAAATACTTGGGATAGTGTCTGGTACAAAGTAAGTGCTGTGTAAGTGTTTCTGTTATAATTTTATACAGCCTTTACTTTGAAAAGTATTAAAATGAAAATAAAAACAAAAATAGTGCTGAATCTTCAAAGCTTTTACCTGATGCTGTGGTCCCTATGTATTTACCTAATATTGGTGATCTCTGTATCTTTAAGTCCTATTAAATAAATAAACCTATGAGGAATGTATTTTTATTATTCTCCATTTTCAAATAAGCTGAGGCTCAGAGAAGTTAACCACCTACCCAAGATCAACCAGCTAGTTATTGCCAATAGCCCCAGTGTTAGGATTTGAACTGAGCCAACCTGGCCACAAATCCCAGCCTTTTCCCACTTCCGCACAGTTTACTGAGTGGTTTCACAAGCCAAGGTAGGCCACAGCTTTTTGTGGGGGAGTGAGGGAGTGAACAGGGTATAGTCCTACATACCTCACAGAGAAACTGCACAGGGCATCATGGAACACACTCAGTGAGTAATCACAGATGGGGAAGCCTGGCCCATGGTGAGTGCTCATTAATATATGTTAAATGAATGCATGCATGTGTAGGATTCTGAAGCCCTGGGTAGATTTCTTTTTTTTATATATTTCATTAAAGTAGAGTTGACTTACAGTGTTCAGGTGCACAGAAGATGATTCAGTTATACATACACACATGTATTATTTTTGAAATTATTTTCCATTATAGGCTATTACAAGATACTGACTATAGTTCCCAGTGCTATACATAGCATATGTCGCATATCTATTTTTTAATGAGAAATCTAGCATTCTATTCATATTAAGTCAAACAAGTGAAATCAAAATGTCAAAGTTTTTAGGTAGGCAAAAATGCATAAATTTTCCAAACTATATATATTGTACATATTACTTATATATATATATGTATATATATATATATAAAGGTTTTTCTACTATGCTTGATAAAGAACACCAAGAAAAAAAAAGATGGAGAAATTGGAAAACATAAACTAAATGAATTGGGAGCACTGAATATGAAATAGAAAAAGTGAAACAAACTAGATAAAAGTAAAAGATCATCATATAGTCCAGTTGTTTTTGAACATGACTACTCATCAGAAACATAGCTGGCACTCTGGAGAAAAAAAAAAAAGCCAATACCTGGGCATTTGCATTTTTCAGAAAATTTCAAGATAATTCTGATATGCATCTGGGTCTTAAAAAGTGATTACAGGTTTTTCTGTTAAATCCTAGTTTTGGTGATACAGAATTCTATTATTTTTCTTTTGACCAGTGGTATTGAGTGAGTAATAGTTACATAATCACAATAGTAAAAGATGTTTTATCAGTTTTCACAATCAATAGCCAGACAAAAAATAAAAGATAATTACAATTGCAAGCCATACTGGGAACATGATTAACTTAACAATATAAAATAATTACATAGAATTTGGGGGCGGGTCAAACAGAGTAGTGATGTGATAAGCAGAAGTGCTTACATGCACAGGTTTTCATCTTCTGGGCAGATTTTAAAGTGCTCCTCAGATGACCCTATATGCAAGACAGCAAAAAAGAGACGTAGATATAAAGAACAGACTTTTGTACTCTGTGGGAGAAGGCGAGAATGGCATGACTTGAGAGAATAGCACTGAAACATGTATATTATCATATGTGAAACGATCGCCAGTCCAGGCTCGATGCATGAGACAGGGCACTCCGGGCTGGTGCACTGGGATGACCCTGAGGGATGGGATGGGGAGGGAGGTGGGAGGGGGATTCAGGATGGGGAACTCATGTGCACCCATGGCTGATTCATGTCAATGTATGGCAAAAACCACTACAATATTGTAAAGTAATTAGTCTCCAATTAAAATAAATTAATAAAAAAAAAATAAAGTGCTCCTCAGGAATGCAGGCTGTGAGGGGAGGCGGTGAGGAAACAGCTTCAGGGGAGACTCTAAAGCTCCATGCTGCTCTGTCAGGCCTGCCCACCCCCATCCCAGGGTATGAAGCTGAACAAGCTGAAGACTGAGTGTGACATTTATCCAGCCAGTTAATTTCATATATTCCTAAAAAATAACCCAGAATTTTAATTTGGGGTTGTCATAGTAATGCTAACTTATTTCTCCCACTCCCCCCACCCAGATGTCCCAGAACCTTACTTCTCTCACCAACATGAGCGAGCTCACTTTATTGGCATTTCACTTTTCACAAAAAAACTCAAGGCTTTAATCACAGAAAGAACAAAGTTGTGATATGTATGTTTGCTGGTTTATTGAGTTGAAACTCCCAGAAATGGGTTAGAAAGGTCGTCAGCAAATGCTGCTTCTTCCACTTAGTAAATATTCCTTCTCTGTCCTAGAGGTTTTCCTGAGAAATTTCTAATGCAACTGAGCTGTTTTCCCAAACTCTAGAAAACCAAGGGCTGCTGGGTGGCCCCATGATCTTTTAACCTCTAACCAAGCCTGGATGCTTCAAACAGAAATTTCTGAGCCTTAAAACCAAATTGTTCTGACTCAAACCCAAACCCTGTCTACAAGTTCAGCTCTGTCTGTGGCAGTGACCCTTGTTCTAAAACGGAAGTGGGGGTGGAGGTGGAGGAATCTCAGTTTAGCTCACCCAGACAGGGTGGCTGCCCTGATCCCAGGTGGGTTTTGATTGAAAGAGTCCTGTTTTGTGCTCCTGTCTCTCTCTTCAAAGCTCATTGAGCTTTTTTGTTGCCATAGACTATGAATTTGAAACCTGGTTTCTAGCAATCTCTCTGCTAAAAATGGCTTGAACTTGTGTCAACTCTGGGTCTTAGTCTGTGCTTTCTTTTAGTCAGGGACTTAGACCAGCCCAGCGCTTTTCAACCCACTCCAGTATTCTTGCCTGGAGAATCCCAGGGACAGGGGAGCCTGGTGGGCTGAAATCTATGGGGTCACACAGAGTCGGACACGACTGAAGCGACTTAGCAGCAGCAGCAGGGCTTTTCATATCCTTTCCCCAAGTTGCAAGACTCTGGCAAAGGAAATCTATCTGGATGCCCGATACGGAAAAGAAGTAGAGCTGCTTGACTTCTGAAGGTGGACTCTCTCCCCTACCATGTGGCCATATTGAATGCAGTTTTAAAATTTGGTTTTAATTTTTTCCCCCAAAGATGGATATTACGTTAATAGGATAATGGGAGGAAGAAAATAAAGAGGTAAGAATGTGGGAGGGAGTGAGTTAACAAATCATTGGCTATGCTTTCCATTTAAAAAATGGAGATAGATGGTATAGTAGAAGATACTAGTACTTTGTTTCTCTGAAATGTCTTACAAATTATTATATGAAATTTTATTGTTGTTTGTATGTCAACTCAAAAGAATAACATTATAGTTAAGTGAACACTGTCTTGGCTGTATGACCCTAGCAGGTCAGGCTCAGATGGGTATCCATCCAGGGACCTGGCTTTTCCTGCCCATCTAAATAATAAAAGTTTTCACTGCTACAACACTTCAGTTTATGCTGTCTTATTTTTGTGATAGGCTCTATGAGCTTGGTTGAGTCAAGGGTCACCCAGAAAATAACCAGCTTCCACTTTCTTTAATTATGCAAACTAGAGCTAGGCGACTGAGATCTTGCCTTTGGTTTGCAAGACATAGGGAGTTTTGCAAGCCCTAGGGGAGTGCAGAATTTCCTGAAGATGTTGCAAGGTGGCTGACTTTCTTCTGAAGTCATGCAGCATTCTGATTTGCTTTAGTTATGACTGCAGAGGTGCTGGGAAGCAAACTGAAAACTAGCACCTTGAAGCAGGCTTTTCTCCATAGGCCCACAGAGGCGAGGCGGGCTCCTCTGGAGGGGAGAGCGTGGTGCTGCCGCTTTCAGCTAAAGGCACTGTGATCCAGTTCCACCTCCTTGCTGCTTCACTGGCAGTCAGTTTTCCGAAACCCAAGTGTTTTTGCAGAAGGTAGGAGATGCAAAGGCTTGAAAATTTGGAGAGCAGAGAGCCGGATGGCTGAGGTTTTACAGAAGTTCCTACTTTGCTATTTTAATTTGGAAAAGGATACAGGAATTCCCACAGAAAACAAGCTTTATCGGAGAAGAACACATTTCATCAACATTCACATTGGTCGTCCCTCTGCAGTCACTGTTCCATATCTCTTAACTCCAGGTGGTGCTGCATTAAGAAGAGAACCTGGACATCAGAGGCCCCCAGGAACCCGTTTCAACCTCACTCAGCCCTTTCTAGGCACATTTCAGATGAAAGTCACCCCTGCTCCTCACTCTACCCTCAGCCCAGCAGAGATGGCCTTCTAGACATCCTACCTCTTTTTCTACCAGGGCTTATAATGTGAAACTCTTAAAGATTTTAAAACTTCACAATGGCATCACTTTCCTTGAGTTTAGGTAAGTCTTTATAGAGAATGGATCCTGTTCCCTAATGAGTAGGAAAATTACCTAGTTTTTGGACATGACCGTAAGGAGAAGATGCTAAATAATACCTTATAGAGATTCTACTAAATATATTAAGCCTAGTGAGGATTTTGAGTGTTTGAGTATACAAAGGGAATGGAATTATTCAAAGGGAAAGATTTTTTTTAAAAGTCACCATTCTCTGAATATAACAGCATATGGGCTAGTTGCTGAAGTACTTTAATAGAAAGTGAAACTGAATCATACTGTTTACTTTTCAGAGTAAAAGCTATTGAGAATTCAAATTTTCCCTGAAAGACTAACAGGGATTTTGTAAAATATTCCTTTCTGTTCTTTGAAATTCAGAGTTCATATGAAAACCTGGGGGTTATGCCTTATTGAAGTCACACTTCAATAATGAAGAATGCCACATGGGGTCAAGGAGTTGTGTTCTGGAGAGAAGACCAGGGTGTGCTCTGAGTCAGCAGAGCACATGACTGACACACAGATTGGGTCAGACGCCCAAGGCCTAGGGAAGCAGCTGCTCAATCTTATATTGGTTGAGAGCTTAGTAAATGGCAACACCAGTGTTTAGAGGGGTCTCACAATACATTTTAGAGTTAGCTTAGGTGAGCTGGAACTGTGTGTATCAAAGGGCCTAGAGACAGGAAAAGTTAGGCAAGGAATAGATATATAAGGGCAAAAAAAAGGATCTTTCTTAAGAAAATTAATTTTATAAGTTTTTCATTTGTAGGGTGGTTTACTCACTTTCCCTCCTGTGTGCTTGAAAATAAATTACTGCCCCAACAAAATGCTAGTTCATTTAGCCTGGATGGGTCATGGTGGACAGTAGGTCCACTGGAAAAGGGAATGGCAAACCACTTCAGTATTCTTGCCTTGAGAACCCCATGAACAGTATGAAAAAACAAAAAGGTATGACACTGAAAGATGAACTCCCCAGGTTGGTAGATGCCCAGTAGCTATTGGAGAAGAGTAGAGAAATAACTCCAGAAAGAATGAAGAGATGGAGCAGAAGTTAAAACACCACCCAGTTGTAGATGTGACAAGGGATGGAAGAAAAGTCCGATGCTGTAAAGAGCAATACTGCACAGGAACCTGGAATGTTAGGTCCATGAATCAAGGCAAATTAGAAGAGGTCAAATAGGAGACAGCAAGAGTGAACATCGACATTTTAGGAATCAGTGAACTAAAATGGACTGGAATGGGTGAATTTAACTCCGATGACCATTATATACCTACTACTGTGGGCAAGAATCCCTCAGAAGAAATGGAATAGCCATCATAGTCAACAAGAGTCCAAAATGCAGTACTTGATGCAATCTCAAAAACAATAGAATGATCTCTCTTCATTTCCAAGGCAAACTGTTCAATATCATGGTGATCCAAGTCTATGCCCCAACCAGTAATGCTGAAGAAGCTGAAGTTGAATGGTTCTATGAAGACCTACAAGACCTTCTAGAACTAACACCCCAAAAATATGTCCTCTTCATTACAAGGAACTGGAATGCAAAAGTAGGAAGTTGAGCTACCTGGAGAAACAGGCAAATTTGGCCTTGGAGTACAAAACAAAGCAGTTCAAAGGCTGATAGAGTTCTGCCAAGAGAACGCACTGGTCATAGCAAACACCTTCTTCCAACAACACAAGAGAAGACTCTACACATGGACACTACCAGATGGCCAATACCGAAATCAGACTGATTATATTATTTGCAGCCAAAGATGGAGAGGCTCTATACAGTCAGCAAAAATGCTGACTGTGGCTCAGATCATGAACTGCTTATTGCCAAATTCAGACTTAAATTGAAGAAAATAGGGAAAACCACTAGGCCATTCAGGTATGACCTAAATCAAATCCCTTACGATTATACAGTGGAAGTGACAAATAGAGTCAAGGGATTAGATCTGACAGAGTGCCTGAAGAACTATGGATAGAGGTCCATGACATTGTACAGGAGGCAATGATCAAGACCATCCCCAAGAAAAAGAAAGCAAAATGGTTGGTTCCAGAGAAACATCTGTTTTATTGACTATGCCAAAGCCTTTGACTGTGTGGATCACAACAAACTGTGGAAAATTCTTCAAGAGATGGGGATACCAGACCACCTAACCTGCCTCCTGAGAAATCTGTATGTAGGTCAAGCAGCAACAGTTAG